ATGTGTACGCGTGTGCAATGTACTTATCACGTCCCCAAGTTGCTGCGATGGCATGACCAGCAATCTATCTTTTGTTTTTTCCCGTTCCAAGTAGATACCATAATTCGCAGAGTATGAAGTATTTTTTTTGCGAATAAGAATAATAAAATGTTTATAATAGCGGTGTTATTCGAGCGAATATATTATGACACTTTTTAGGCGGTTACACACGGACGTGGATGTCTGAAAACATGTACGCACATACATGAACGCGCAAACAAAAACATCAATGTGTATGCAAAATACCGTCGCGTTTTTGAATGTGCAAACTGTAGAATGACACTCAAATGAATTCTGGAATCGCTAGAAATTTTGTATGCAAACTCAGAATACTGTAGCAAGAGTAGCAGGACTGCCAGTTTTGTGCGAGCGTCTGTACAAAAGTGACATGCACGTTGTTGTTTGCACGTTGATGTATGCACGTATATGTATCAAGCCATCCAAGTCCGTGTGTAACCGCCTTTTAGGACGCTTCTTGCGGTTTATATCGTTCATAGAGGCCAAGACGAGGTAGGAGTAGGCACAGTTGGCAATCAAGGTTTTGAAGGTCATTTCACCCTGAGAGTACTTTTTTTAATGTAATATATAATATAATATAATATAATAGGAGGTAATCAAGTTTAGTCACACCAATATATTATTATTATCTGAAATCTAAAATTTTGGACGCCATTTCAAAAAAATTGGGAATCCTCAAGGTCATCTAGGTCAGCTCAACCTCAAGAGTATTATTTTTATTGTCTGTATTTACAATCGTTTATAAGATTATCCCAGTACATTTGAAAATAAAAAATTAGTACTAAAATACAAATAATGGACGCCATTTTACAAAAATTACGGTTTTCAAGGTCAGCGAAAGGTCATAGCGGTCTAAAACATTTTTTTTATTATTCTGCGTCCCCGGAATATATGGACTAGAGTATAATCATGCTTTTCTACACCGAATCAAAATTGAAATTAAAAAATTGGCCGCCATTTTGGAAAAATGGCGATTTTTTAGTCCCAGTGAGAAAAGTCGATGAGTCCTCGACTCGAATCAATTAAAATGGCCTACTTAGCAACTGTGCCAAATTTCATGCTTGTATCATCAAATGGCGTTTTCTCTTGAAAAAATCCCTTAAGCAACCCTATTGCAAATAAGATAGTATATACAAACCTTGGAGGAAAGTTTTCATTTATTTCTAGTGGCTAGTCTTGGTCTTGCATATGCGGTCTTGGTCTTGGTCTTGCAGGGTCCAGTCTTGGTCTTGCAGCAAGACTCTTGCAAGTCTTGCATTTATTTGGAGAATTTTTACTGGAGAGAATTTTTACAAAAAATTTTTTTTCAAAAAATCTCTTTTCATGCCGCTTGAAGTAGGTAAATGTTTAAAGAAAGGGAGAGTATATGCCAGTTTCAAAATTTAAGTTTTTCAATATTGAGTACCTACTTCTACCACAGCAGCAAATTTTAACAAGTACCTAAATCAGGCAATTTTTCAAGTAAAAAATGCTCGAAAAAAAATTAGGAGTTAAGGGATCACTTGTTTAGGTTTGTCGTCCCTGTAATATTGAAACATCCTTATTTGTATTTATCAGTGACGCACCAAGAGAATATGTTTGGGAGGCCCCTACATATAGGTTGTGGATTGTGTCTAAAAATCTAAACAAAAAATTAAAAATACAGTTTTGGATAGGGGTCTGGGGGGGGGGGGGGGCAATACCCATCCCCTGGGTGCGCCACTGGTATTTACAATTAATTGCGGGCGGTACTAACACAGGAACTATATTATTAAAACGTGCATTTCATTTAATTTTTTTATGCCTATCTATAATTGAGTTGAAGTGTGAATATCTATCTATCTTGATAATCTAATGCAGCTATTCTTTTAAGAGTGACAATTTCGCAGAAATATTTCACTATAAGTAATTTCCTAGATTTACATCTAAGTCACTGGGGGCCCGTTACGTTAGCTGGAATTAGAAATAAACCAAAATTATTATTGTTCAATGAAGAAGTGAACATCAGTTTTATGCATATCTCAGCAAATGAAAAATTTGTTAACAATTTTACCTACTCGCGTGCCCTGCGGGAACTGTACTTTTCATCACACTTTTGCGTGCGGTAGTGAAGTAGTACTTTATATATTCAAAAAGCAAAAATAATGCAAAAGATAGTAGTTTTCTTATGGACAGAAATTTCTTTTACTTTTAAACACCAATTCGATTTACATTGAAAATTTAGATATGTTTGATATTTGTGTTCGCGGGAATCTATCTATATATATAAACGTGAAATTCACTCACTCACTGACTGACTGATTAAACACGAAATCACGAAAACTACTAAACCAATCGAGATGAAATTTTGTAAACAGGTAGGTAATAGGTTGGAAATGCTCACTAAGAAATAATATCAACATGGCCTTAAGCAATCGCCTTAAATAACCAAAAATAAGAAACGGTGTGGTGCGGGAGTGCGGGGAAAAAAGTGTAAACAGAAACAGACGACGTGTCAGCTGTCAAATTCAGAAATATGACAAGCAGAATCAAATTCATAGCGATTTCCATTTGCAGAATCAGTGCAAAAAAAAAATGTGTTTTTGTCGTTATATTTTCATGCTTTCACCAGAAACGATTCGGAACCGATTCTGAACAAATTCCACCAGTCCCAGGCTAAGCTAACTTCAAGTTTGAGACATGAAATTCGCAATTCGTTCACGTATTCGACAGTCTGGAGCAAGGTTCTGGAGTTTTTGTTCGGTTCCAAAACTGTTCGCGATAAAATAGGAACCTGAACCCATTCACAAGTTGGGTTCTAGGCAATCTACTGACCTGTCAAAAACGAAATTCAATATGGAAGTTCGGGTCAAGCACTGTGTTATTTATTCTGTATGTCATTGATTCTGTCACATTCTGGACAAACGTCCAGATTTGAATTATCGGATTTTGTGTTTTTTTGTGTGTTTAGATATTGTGTTAATTAAAATGCCAGCGATTTGCATCGTAATTGGGTGTGGAAGTCGAGGTAACAGGGATAATGTGAAATTTTATTAAGTTCCTACTATTTTAAATCATTGGCTTTTGATCTACAAATATGTATTATCAAAACAACGCAGGGCTTTATGGATTGCTGCAACTAAAAGCTCGATTTTCCCTTAATAATAATACCTTAAGATATTCACTCTCCATCTCAGAATTTATTAATAAATTAAAAAATACGTAGAAACAGTAGAAACACTTAGTCTTGGTCTTCCATAAGTCTTGCACTGCTCGGTCTTGGTCTTGCAGTCTAATAAGTGGTCTTGGTCTTGCTTTTTCTGCAAGACCAAGACCAAGACCAAGACCACAAGACCAAGACTAGTCTCGCTCATCACTGTTTATTTCTCTCGACTGTAATGAAACATTTCCCTACTCGGTATGTAATGTACTATTATTATCATTCGACAACTAACTTCAATCTAACATACGCATCATAAATCTATAGTTCAGTGGTATTCATGCAGATATCACACCAGGTGATTCAGCTAAAAGCAAATCATTTCGTATTTTTGTATTATTATTTTGTTTTTTGGATTAGCGCCTTCTTTTTTCCTTTAAAAGCTTCAGGCAGTAACTATTCACTTTTTCCGTACACGTTCCTCGCCTGCTTTCTTCCAGAGAGAGACGAAGTAAAAAAGACGATGGAAAACTTTAGCAGCGTAATACCGTGCTCCATCATCATCGGAAAGTTCGACAGAACTTTTTTTGCCGAACTAAAACATGCATTATGATTCCATAAAAAGTTCCTCTTTGAACTTATCGTTCGGAGACGACGTCGGTCGTTATAGAACGCCCAATATGTGTGTGTGTGTGGGTTGGGGAAGTCAGAAATGAGGGTAATGCTTTGCCATAAATGATGACAAAGATTAGACGCCAGATACTTTGCATTTCCTAACCTAGAATCATTTCACACAAAATGCAGAAAAAAGGATGCTTTTAAATGATGGCAAAAGGCCTCCCCAAGTGATTTACACAGTACGAAGGTGCGCCAAAAGCTTTAATATCGCGTCACCTTTAACGCCAAATTGCAAAAGTTGGACTGCCATTACATTGTGTAAACTTTTATGACCGCGCATAATTTCGCATAAATTTCATATATTAAGGCCGCTTGTTTTCTTTTTGAATTGTAGAGAATCTAAAATTTATTAAAAACTTTTCGCTAACAAACAACCCGCTAATTTGTATCTAATGAAAAGCAGGAGACATTAATTTTACGAGACTATAATAACAAAGTAAGCACTATCCATATCGTCGGTCTCCTTACGTAGTGGCGTAACTGACAAAAATTGAGATTTTGAGATACGCCGCCTAAGGTATTATTTTGGGGTGCTTTTCAATCTCACAAAGTAGCGTAACTGTATTTCTAATACTATGCTTGCAATGCCATTACTAAAATCTGGCGTAAGTGCATAAACCTTTAAAGTGTTTCCCACGTATTGGCGTAAATCAATTTACGCCTTTACGTCGTGTCACTTTTTTGATCCATTTCATACTGTTTTGGCGTAACTGAAACCACTGTGCACGCGCGATCGGGAGGAAACATCAACATTAGGCAACTCAAACCACGTGACATTCAAGATGGCGTGGCGGCCACACATGGGCCACAAAACACAAAAAAATATATAGTTTCTGCCCGAATTAATAGTTTAGGTACCTAGTCAACAAATATTTTATTAAATAATGAAAATCAAAGTTGTAAGCAAAACTGTATGCAAAATAATTTAAAATACGCATAAAGACATATTCAAAACAAACTTGCTTGGCCGCCACGCCACATTGAATTTTCCTTTTTGACAGATGGATTGAATTGCCTAATATCCGCGAGAATTTCATAACCTCAATAATATTATTATTGTTTGTGTTTCCGTTGTGACCAGAGCTGATGATGTGCGTAATTTAACTTCAGATAAATTTAAAAAAAAAAAAACTATTTTTAATAAAACATGGATGTGCTTGTGTTGTGGGAAGACGGTTCGAGGAACGTCGTGTCTTCAAATGAACTTAAAACCGATAAATATAAGCGCTTTAAAGTAGGAAATAAGGTTCACATGAAATATAATAGAAAATGGTATCATGGAATCATTCTAGATGTGGAAAATCTAGTTGGCAGCGATTCGGAGGACGAAATTCCGTTGAGCAAATTATTGAAATCATCTAGTGGAAATGAACAGGCAACAAATAGAAACGAATTAGTACATGTAAGTATGAGTTGAATGATACTATGTTAGTGCTTCTATAAGTTGGTACAGGGACACCCTGTACCATCTTAACTCCAAAGCGCAGCCAATAATGGAAAAATGTTTTTTTTTACAGGCTGAACCAGGTGAAGTTACAACTTACAATGACTTATTCATTTCTCAAGCAAAACCAGAGGAAAAGGCAGTTCTAGAACCGGAAGTTTTGCCGTCCATTAATGTCGGTGGAGATAATGAAATACTTAATGTGAGTAGGTGCCTACTTTTCTTTTTTTTTGTAGCATGTTTGTGATTTTGTGCGAAGGCCGCTGTAGCAAATAGGTTCTTTTTAGTATTGTTTTTTTTCTTGCTCTTTTCACTCAAGCTACAATACATGCCTATAAACGATTTTCTTTTTTTTTTGTTATAGGTTGACTCGGATAAGGAAAATAGCTTTATTGACGACTACGCTTCTCCATCAGATGATTACGATTCTGATGCCGATCCTCCTTTTGGACAATGTCATGTCAAAACTTGTAAAGGGGAAGTTTTTGCGGCGTGCCATAGATGTGATTTTCTACTATGTTTTGACCATTTCAATGAGGATGTGGAAAATTGTAAGTACCACGGCATAAATACTGTGTACAATACTGGAAAGGCTGGGCCCAATCGTTGTAGAAAAGCTTTGGACAAAAAAGCTCTTTTACAAGTCAGTAGCCAAATCAGTCAACAGAATAAAGAAAAAACGAAAATTGTTGAGCATCCAGAAGGCTATTTAGTTGAGGGCGCTTCAGAAGAGAGAACGATTGCTAAGAAAAAAAGAATTAATAAATCCAAAGAAGCTAAACTTTTGCGGAACTCAGGTCAAGAGTATTTCAGCTTAAAGACCAAAAAGAAAATCCCAGCCAGACAAATAAAGGAACGTTGTGACGGGCAAAAATGTAAAAAAAATGGGAAAACAATGTATTGAGATATCTGATGAGATGAGGCAGGACATTTTTAATGCTTTCATGGGTTTAGGGGACCTAGCAAAGCAAAGAGAATTTTTAGTCCGTCACGTTCAAGTTCTTCCTAAAAAGAGATCAACTACTGTCAACAGTGACTCACGTAGAAAAAATTCCAGATTATACGTTTTAACAGTAAATAACAACCAAATTATGGTGTGCAAGAGATTTTTCTTCAATACACTGGGCATTCCCGAGCGAACATTCCGTACAGCATTTTCAAAAATTACTGCAACAGGTACAATAGAAAAGGAAATGAGAGGGGGCAGGCAGAGAAGTGTTGCAGTTAAAAACAAGGAAAGAGAAAATAGAAATGAAATCGAGGCCCACATCGACCGATACCCTCGCGTGGAGTCCCATTTCTGCAGATCAAGCACGAGCAGGATGTATCTCCATCCAGATCTATCATTGAAAAAAATTTATAAAATGTTTGTAGAAGAACAAGAATCCAAAAAGAACACAAACATTCCAAGTTTAACTACTTATCGAAGAATTTTCAAGGCGAAGAATCTGTCGTTTTTAAGGCCAAAGAAAGATCAGTGCTCACTTTGCTTATCCTTCAAAGAGGGAGACGCTGCTATTAAAGAAGATTTAAAAGATAGATACGAGAAACACATTTTAGAGAAACAACTAGTGAGACAGAAAAAAAGTGAAAGTAAAGAAAAGGCAAAGACTGATTCAGATATCCTTTGCGCGGTTTTTGATCTTCAACAGGTGATTTACTTACCCATTTCACAGGAGTCTGCAATTTTCTATAAGTCAAGGATGTCAGTTTTTAATTTCACTTTTTACAATGTAGCCACCAGAGAATGTTACTGCTTTGTCTGGGACGAAACAAACGGGAAACGTGGGTCGACTGAAATTGCAACTTGTCTATTCAGAGCAATTGGCCAATACGTCGGAAAAGGAGTACATACCATAGAACTCTTCTGTGATGGGTGCTACGGCCAGAATAAAAATTCGGTTGTAGCATCCATGTTGCTGTATTCGTTGGCAAAATACAACACTATTAAAAATATTACTTTGAAATTTTTTGAAACCAATCACGGACAAAACGAAGGTGATAGCGCCCACAGTGCTATTGGTTATGCGCTGGCACATTCTGGTGACCTCTTTGTACCGTCACAACTATACCCAGTCATTCGAGGTGCAAGAACACAACCTAAGCCGTACACTGTTATTCCAATGAGTTTTGGAGATTTTCTTGATTTCAAAACATTTTCGAAAAATCTAAGACTATTATCTGTAAGACAAAGCGAGAAAAACAGATCTTTAAAATGGACCGAGATTATGGATCTTAGTGTCAATAAAGAAGGACCGATGAGCATTTTCTTTAAATATAGCCACGCTGAAGAAAGTTATGATAAAATTGTGCTTAAACAACGTGGTGGAATAAGCCATCTAATTATTGATAATTTGAATAAAGAACAAATTAAAATTTCCAGAAAGAAATATGAAGATTTAACTGCTCTTTGTAAACCATCTGGCAGAAACAGAACAGCGGTAATACGCACACCCGAACTTCAAAACTTCTTTTACTCTTTGCCGCACGAAGAAGACGAAAAATAATAGTGCTGTTTTTTCTTGTTTTTCCAAATAAAAAGAATCAGATTCAAACCGTTTTCATTTTTTTTAAAGAATGATTTTTTTTCCCCTTTTCATTAGCCATTGTAAAGAATGAATAATTTTTTTTTTCCTTTTCTAATAACCGTTGTAAAACATTTTGCTAATTTGATTATTTATCACAATAAACTAGTTTAAAAGTATAATATTATGAATCTGTATCACTTTTTCCCTACACGATCTTATAGGCGTAAGTGTAAACATAAAAAAAATATATTTTTACAAATTGGCGTATCTGTATAAACATGTTTTTTACTTGCAAGCTGATCAGCTGATAACAAAAATGTTATGCTTAAAAGTAGCAGGAATAGTTAAGCATTTTGATAAAAAAAAACAATTTGGGCCACCTTCAGTAGAAACAATTGGACACCGATATAAATATGCTTCATTTTCGTTTTTTGCGTCTACTGGAAAATTTGTGAAAAGCTAGTTACGCCACTACGTAAGGAGACCGACGATATGAGACACTGAATTTATTATTATACTTGACGTAAATCTAGATGCTAATAATGTATAAAGAAAATGGCGCAGATTAAGTATTCCAAAGGCTGGATTATGGTTACGAATTTACATACAATTAATTTTCTCATGAACGATTTCCTGGTAAAAGTAAACATCAAACATCCTTTGATAGGGGTGGTGGTCCTTTTCCGAAATCACGTCAGCCCGAAAAAAGGAGCAAAAAAGCAGCGGCCATTCATTAACTCTCTCACCCTTTTGGCCCCTGGATCGATGCAATCGGGGCTTCGCATCCGCCAAATTTCGGACCCCCGCCGATGTGTTGCGAAAGTTGACAGATGACGAGGCTTAATCGGAAACATTAAAAAAGCTTTAGCACTCAGTTTTGCATCAATATTTTATTTTGAAACGGAAAATATATGGTATGGACCAATCAAGTTGATCTTAGGGGATATAAACGGCCATCTCGGGTACGCCTAGACGCATAACTTAGATCCTCCGCCAGTCTCTGGTGGCATATTTATGTCCGGAAACTCTGGAACAATTTTATTTTGCTTCTCTTCTTCCTCATTAGGAATTCTTTTTCGCCATCCGGGGAATTAAATAATTGGAATTTATCGTATACAAAATTTATCAGTTGTAAGCAAGAAAAGTGCATTAAACTTGGAGGTACAATAATAGTCGGGTTGGGGTCCCTGTGCTCACTGTTAACGGCTAATCAGTGATTCAGTTTGCGAATAAAGGGCCCTTCCCGCTAACAATATGGCAGCTATTGTCTACAAATATGGATCTCCGGTTGCATCGGCCATTATCTCCGGAATGTGCATGTTTACCTGGTACCTTAATTGTTTGGACAAGTTACTCGACTGGAAACTTGATCATCATATGGACACGTGTTTATTGGATTATTATACAAAACAACCTAAAGTTAAAACTTTCCGAGGCAAAAACTTTATGACGCAGCAAAGAAATCATCAAGAGACCAACTTAAAAGTCGGAGAATCGTTATAAAAGCAACACCGTTCATGCAAAATAAATGTAAACACGTCTAGTTTCGGGGTGTTGCAAAGTTAGTCGGTGCTTTGAAATATTTCCGAGTAACAGCCACATAAAATTTTATGTATTGTAGATCGCAGTTTGGCTAACAATAAAATGTTTTAGGATTTTATTACTGGTGTTGACTAAACAATCTATTGATTAGACAATATTGGTTCTACATCATTGACTTAGAGGATTGAAACAAGGTGTTTGAGATTTAAGAAATTTTGGTGATTGTCATCCTTATAGGAAAAGGAGCTGTGAGATTTGAAGCTGAAATGTTTGAAAAGTGAAGCCCAAATCAGCATTTGGCAACAGCGGAGGGTAAACTACCTTGAAAAAAGTGAACATTAGAATCCCACTTTTAACGGAATTCCACGAAATCCTACTGAAATTCCATTGGAAAATAATAAAATTTGGGACTAATGAATAAAAAGTACATTGAAACCACCTATTTAAAATATTATTTCTTTGAATCTTAACTTTTTAAAAAAACGTTTACTGAATAAAAGTAAATGTTGCAACCATGTAATGCGCTGTAAAGTTTATGGAAACGGGACGCGCCGCAACGAAAAAACGCACCGAAAGGGTAAGTGGAACAGAATGGGAAACTAGACGACTAGACTAGAGAAGAAGCTGGGCTGGTCCCTTAGACACTTGTCTGCCATTGTTCATTATTCAATTTAAATTTTTATTTTGTATTAAATTGATTGTTCAATCCAATATGTGATTAGTTTGTGTGTCAAAAGTAGCATTTACAGGTTAGTTGAATAATTATTATTTTTTCTGTGACGGGAATAAAGTAGACTTTTTGTACCTGTTGACAGGGGCAAAAATGTCACTTTTTCTCCCATGGGAAAAAAGTGATGTTTTTTTCCCCACGGGAAAAAAGTAACAGGTACCAGTCAATTTTTTTTCTCGAGGGAAAAAAGTAACAGGTACCAATCAAATTTTTTTCTCAAAAGGAATAATGTATAGATGGAAAATGTTGAGATTTTCCCGTCACAGAAAAAAATAGTGTATTATACACGGGAAAAAAGTAAGATTTTAGCGCTCGCTGTGTTGTGTTGTGTTCAAAAACCACACCTCGCCCAAAAATCTAGTACTTTTTCCCTTTGTATAATAAATAACTATTTGTTTTTGAGAATTCAATTTATACAAGTATTTTATTTATTTTTTAATTTTTATATATTTTTTTGTTTGTTTATGACATTTTTTTATAGCATATGCATTGTTCATGTATTTAATAATAGTACATTATATACCTAGGTAGAGAAGTTGGTCATTATATACCGAGGCGCGAAGCGCCGAGGTTTATAATGCGTAAGGTATATAATGACTTTGTCTACCGAGGGATATATAGAATTTTTTAAACTACTGCTGGTAGAAAATAAAAAATAGGTTTGAAACCTGTGCTCAAATTATTTTCTCTTGTCGGAAATACTGCCCTCTATCAACAGCTTACGGTGATTTCCTATAATGTACATACAGGAACCTGCTTTTTTAAAAATTGACAGTTTGACACTGAAATTAAACCAATAGAAACCAGTTACGTTATGACAATATCCTTGCGTCATGACGTCATTTTCATTATTGACCTAGGTATTTTTTCATTAGGGAGAGAAATTAAATTTTTTCCCAGAAAAATTGATGGAATAATGACTACTTCTCAGGTTAGTAGTAAAAAAAAATCGTTATATGCTGTAAACAACAAAGATAAAGAGTAAATTTTAAAAAAACTAAGAAATTATGTGATGTCTTTTGTGCTGGAATTTTGATTTTTGGTATTCAGAGCGTACATTAGGGCCTTGTTGAATGTACTAAGATTTTTCTACCCTGACGAGCGAATATCCTACTGTAAAAGGAGAGAGTTATTGGCTCGAAATAGCAACTATAGCTGGGTAGCATCCCGTATGGGACCTTAGTACCTGCTGGCAGATCGGCTAACTAACCAAAAACTCCTCAGTATTGAATATAGATAGTGTTGATTGAATGTTGTGTGTGGAATTAAAATTTTAGCACAAAGACAAAGAATGGTACCTAATTTAAACTTTTATTGAATTATTGAATTATTGACTTAAATTATTGATTATTGACTCACAAAAATGACACAGTATGTTTTGATTTTTGAGAAATGTTCGATCGAGGGTTTCTCTTTCCCTTCGAGAATTCCAGATTGAGAACGGTATGATTTACTTTAATAATAAAGTAGACGTTTCAAAAAAATTTCGTTTCTTCTACATATCACAGCTTGCCTTAAATTTCCCAGATATTTGCTAATATCAGGCGCATGTCCAGTAAGTAAAATTGAGTAAGTTTCCACAACGTAAGTCCTATTTGTTTTTTATTTCGTTTTCCAGAAGATTTGTTGTTTAAAAGGTAATAAAAATTCACACTGTTCAAGCTTGCTGAACGAACCCGGGTATGTTATACTACAACATGTTATGGATAAATCGAGGGATAAATTGAGTTCTACTCATTTTTAAACCTCTGCGGAACGAGCGGAGCGAGTTCCGCAGCAATTGACTCACTAATGAGTCGTTCTCATATAAAAATGAGGAGTGCTTGAAATAATGAGTTAATGGCGTTAATGCATGCCAAGCTGCCTTAAAAGCCTTAAGGGCTTCCAAATGCACATCGAAACTAGTTTGGGAGTGTAAACAAACCCTAAAAACACTAGCGACACACAACCAGGTAACGCTGATGTGGGTGCCTGGTCATCGAGGCATAGAAGGTAATGAAGAAGCAGATGACCTCGCAAAGGAAGGGGCCTCAACACCATACCATGGACCAGAGCCCCACTGTGGCTTAATGAAAAGCCACATTATGGAAGAAATATCAATAAATGGGAGAAAGACCAACTGTCATCATACTGGAGGCACACACCAGGACTCAGACAGCCTAAAAGGTTTATTACCCTCATTAAAAAGAGTGTTCAGCTCTTAAGCTCCTAAGCATGAGCAAACCAGACATCAGATTGGTGGTGGGACTGCTCACAGGACACTGCCCAGTAAAATACCATTTAAGGTTAATGGGCAGAGCGGAAGACGATCTCTGCAGATTCTGCTCAGACGCAATAGAGACCGCAGAGCACCTGCTCTGCGAATGTCCAGCCCAATTCTGCAAGAGGCTTAAATTCCTCGAGGGGGCAACACTGTCACCAGAAGAAGTGGGCCAACTAACACCCGGGAAAATAGCTTCCTTCGGCAGAAGTCTACGCTTCCTGGAGACAATTTGAGATGTAGAGTCATGTACAAAATATCTGCAAAGGTAGCAGTACTGAGCGGCTGAAAAGCCGAAACGACTCCCCCGCAATCTACAATCTCTAATGCATGCAAAAATGATGTTACAATTATTGTTTTCACACCCATATCTTAGCCGGGACTCGAACCCGGGACCTCAGCATGCAAAGCCGTTACAGTACTGACAGCGCTGCTTGGTCATGCTGT